TGTCATGTGTGACGCGTGAAAAAAAGAAGCCACCCAATAACGACACTTTATAACAGAATATTATTATTTTGTTTCAATATTAACGGAATTCAACAAAAATAAAATTGAATTGAAGTGTTATTTTAAAAACATAATTATAATCTACTAAAATATAGCTTTTAAAATGTATTTCAAATCAACTTATTTGCTTTTAAGATGTGGCCAATGTGAAAAGAATTTGTAAGTATCTACATTAATTAAAATGAAAACAACTTTCATTCAGGTTGGCCATCTTAATACACTGTAGGTATTTTTCTCAACATACTTCAATAGTTCCAATTAGACTGACATGAAAAGGATTTAGTACTCAAAGATCGACAAAATAGACACAGAGTGAAATTTCAAAGTAATGGTCGTTTACCAATGATAAAGCTTTAAATGACATCAAAGGACTTTAAAAACATTCTTGTTTATATTATAAAAGACTAAAATTTAATTATAAAATTGTATGACATTTCGAATCATATTCGTTGAATAATTTGGATGTTTACACAGAAAATTCTCCTATTCTTCCAAAAAGAAATTCTTAATGTAAATATAGTAGGTATAATTTAGAACACATTTCACTAAAATTAAGCAGTTTGTGTTAAACCAACAAAATAATATCATAAAAATAAAAATGATAAAATATGCATGAAACAAAATTACTTTTTTAAATTGTATGGAATGACATAGCTATACTTTTATGTTGAAATACTTGTGATGTGATAACTAAAATTATTATAGTTAGGTTACATCATAAATTTAAATCCTATCAGATATTCTCAACACTGTATAAGGTTGCAGGTTGTCGGCTACACGGGAAGTGTTAAATTACACAGGAACGAAGCCCTAGCAGAGAACTATTGCTGCAAAGTTTGTATTTTTATAAATTTAACTATATATCAGCTGATGAAAAAGGTCTGTTGAAATAATATAATTACTATAAGGACGCCGATGTAAAATTCAAAAAAAACTAAAGATTGTCGAGATTGCATAGGTACCTGTGATGGTACAATGCGTTTAATGCGTATCTATTTTCAGCGAGAAAGAAGACATTTTCCATATGTTATCATATTATTTATAATAGGTAATTGTTTTTTTTAAACTACAACCTTTGAAATAACGAAATAAGTATTAATATTTTAGACTGAGGATGAAGAAAGCTTATAATCATTGATTGATATATCCTGAAACGAAAATCACCGTATCAGATTGATCTGAATTAAAAATTTGTCACAATCAACATCAGAAGGTATATTATACATTGTTTATTTTGGATTTAAAAAAAAAAAATACCTCAAACTATAATTTAGTTTTAATTAAAATAAATAAATAATTTTCAACCAGTCCATCACATGCACTTATTGTAAAACAACATTTCAGATTGTATATATTTAAATAAACGATAAAAAAAAAATTTTCAACCAGAAATTTTGAGCTAATAACTAACTAACCATTCTCACAAATAAGCAATTTACTAATTCACATATTATAATAATATAAATATTACGAGGAAAATTAAATGTACGATTAATATATTTTGCATGGCTATTTATTAATACAATACGAGTATGTTCATTATATTATATTATGCGGGTTTTATAGAAGTCGTACCTATATAATGTAAAGTGTGTGAATAATGTGTATGTAACTTGTACTTGCAGTTTAAATATGAGATACAGACGAAATGCGAGACTGGTCCCGATATAATATTATAAAGGTTATAGGATGGTTTTACAAAGGTCAATAAAACGAAACTTAATAGCTGTCATATTAAGCTAAAGTTCAAAACTACAATGTCCCATTAAATTAAACAATGTATATAGTGCCTGGCTGAACAATGATTCACTCGAACCAAAGGCGTGTTAGAAACGAGTTAGCGGTGACGGCGGCGGCGGCAGCACCCGTGAGGTCGTGTGGCAGTCGGATTATTTTTGTTCGTATCCCCGTCATAACATTATTCGCCAGTATTAATTTTAGAAGAAGACGACGGCAACGAAGAGGAAAAAATATCATATTAATTGTATCTCGTCTTGACAACAACCGGTGATTTATTATCAGCGACGGTCGTGTAATGTTCCGATGGAATTTATATTGCTCGGTAATAATTTCCGTTTTCGTGTCTTGGCCCGCCAAAAAAAAAAAAAATAATAAAATAAAATAAAAATAAATAAATAAAAGAAAATAAAAGAAAAGAAGCGAAATTCGAACTGTACGGCGCGGAGGCGTGCACAAAAAAAGAATTACTAAGGGTTTAATTTATTAACAAGCAATTTCCACTTTGGTTGCTGTGCCGAAGAAATAAATTGAAAGACGCAGACTAGAAAAATATATATATATATAATATGTATACTGCAGTGTTGTATGTACTATATATATATATATATGATAAAACCGCTAAACGGAGGTGCTGGATGGATGAAGGCGCAAGCTACGTCGACAATAAAAATTCCCAGCAATATGGTCATTGTGAATAAAACATCCGATATTAGACGTAAAAAAAAATAATACCATATTTGAATAACCTCTTGCGTGAAATTGAGGATAAATTACATTTAGAACGTATATACAAATGGAAAACTGTTGGTGTTTTATTTTTATTTTTAACCATTGTGTGGATTTGACGCACACACACGCGCGCTTTTTATTTGTATGAAATTTCTGGTTTATTTTTATTAGTTCTTTTAAACTAGAACACAACGAGTCATCCGGCTTTTGAACTTTTCAATAAAAACGAGGTATCCAAGAAATCCACCTACAGTATTATGTATGTACGCCCAGCAGCATTTCGGAATATTGGCAATATGTGCATGACGAACCTCGGTGACTACTAGCTCCCTTGAGCAGAAACCCCTTTTGCAAAATGCACACGAACGACATTCGAATATCGTTCTATTGTCTTTGTAAAGAGCAAAAAAAAATATTCATATTCAATATTATACATATAAGTGCATTTATTTAAACTCTTTTTCCTTTAATTTTGTCTACATTACGAATTTCATTGTTTTTGAATACGCCACGACACATTGCAGTCATAAAATAATAACTGTAGCAGTGTTATATGTTTATAGGGAAATGCAAGACCATTAAAAGTATATTAGTACATGGATAAATTATTCACGCGCTAAATTAGCTAGTTCTTATTAGGACAATTTATTTAGGAAAATGCATTTTATTTTAATATTATTCACAAAACGATACATTACACCAACCACAGTAATTAGATTTTTACGTAAGTAGAAATAGATACTAACGTATCGTAGTTTACAGTACAACACGGCGAGTATTATAGTATTATTTTCCAACTACACCGAAGTACCTATCAAATATAATATATTATATAACATTCAATATCTGCACCATAAACATTCAACATTATTTATACGAGTATAGTGGGGGGATAAACAATATTTTTCTTAACTATTAATTATTGTGTAGATAAAAAAATGGAAAAAATTTATCATTGTACATAAGTATAGCAAACGACATGATTTAATTCATATATTATTTTTACATGCCAAATTATTAAGTACTAACCTATATAACTAGAATATATGTACACTGCATTATTCTTGTCTAAGAAAATACGACTAATAGGAAAATATAAATAATAATATATATGTATATATACGATGTATTCAGTAGGAAGATCACGTTGGTTAAATAATTCATACTTTTTCTTTCCAAACTACATATCTCTTAGCTCGTCAAGTGTAAGTAACCCTTTGTACAGGTTTTTCGTACGTTTTTGTTATACATTATGTAAGGGAATGTGCGTAATATTATGATGCATAGCCAAAGTACAGTTGGATTAAGATAAAGATTTTGTATACTCACTATAAACCTATTTAAAATACATATATTGTTATGTTTCTGGTGAATTTCTAACCGTATTACGTATTGCCATAGGTTACCCAATATTATCGATTCACATTATAAAACAATAAGAAATAATATTAATGTGGGTGAAAATAAATAACACTACACTTTAAAAGATTTATAATAAATATTTTGGTTTCACTTTATGGACTGGCAAATGCCATTATTACGCCGAAATTGTCTATGCGATTATTATATGGTATTTTTATAATAATAATATGTCTATATCAATATTTTAGTCTAACTCATTCTCAAACTCAAATAATTAAAATGTTAAAAATATTTACTTGATTAAACGAATATAGCGACGACACTTCATCATTAGTGGGTGACTATTTCTCCGTTAAATTGTTAGTTAAAACGCTAGCCACATATAGTTTACTATTGTATTCATTATAAGTTATAAGTCCTCACTGTTTCGTGTCTTAAAGTTTTGTATTAATTTATAATTTATTGTAAGCATTCTACTGTGTTTATGTACTCTCAACAATATATACGATTTTAAAAATTGAAAATTAATGTAAATTAGATAACCTATAACTTTAAAAATAATATTATAAGGTTATTAAACCTTAATTGTATTATTTATAATTTATATAACTTATTTGATTGATTTAAGATTTTATAGATTTTATAGCCATTCTTTTTTTTTTAAACATTTTTTGAGTTACAATAGTTTATATTAAAAGCTAATGAAAAAAACAAAAATTTTAAAGGTGGTAATTTTTATATTATAATATATTCATTTTAATAACGTCAGTAGTATCTTTATACGAATACGTCATTTGAATCTTCACTTATTCAATACCAAATGAATTTGAATAGGTAGGTAGTCACATTGCGGGCATAAAAACATGATTGCGGAAGCAATTTTACGCAAAACGTTTCGTTTATATGATAGAGATGAGTTAATAAAATTTTTTCAATAACTATAAATTAGAGAGGAAAATAAATGGTTTTTTGTTTCACTAACATACTTAAATATCACTCTTATAATTTTATTTTTAGTTTTATCCGAAAAAATGTTCAACTAATTTTTTTTTAATATGATATAATAAAAGACAATAAACTAAAGAAAATAATGATAATTTTTCACTTACCTTTGGATGTGCTCGTCGCGGAAATGCCACTTTCGGATCGATCTGTAAAAAAAAATTAAGGAATTTATTAATAAATACATAGATATAATACAAAATGTTGTAATTCACAATTAAGCAGTTAAAAACTAAAATCTTAGTCAGGTATTCGTATTCAGTAGTCATTACAATACAATATAATATAATAATTCGTACCCATTCAATAAATCACATATTATTTAGTAACTCGTATAAAAAATAGTTAAAAAATAAATAGTTTGTTCATATCTGTATCTAATATATTAAAGGTTAAGTATATAGCCACAAAAAGCTATAAGTATATTAATTATTAATACCCACATTTAAAGTCAATAATGATAATAATAATAAAAATCTAAAAAAGTCGAATTTAAACTTGAAATCGTATTGAGCAAAATCAAAATCATTATATGCTTAAAATCGTTGTTCCGATCAAAACCAATAAATATTTATAACGAGCAAATAACTTATTTGTGTCCAATAGAGAATGCTAATTGCGTAAGAATAAATTTGAGTAGCTAAAATGAAAATCCCGTAAGAATTCGTAAGAGATCACTTCGGTTCGAGAGACATTGGTACCGTTGGGTTAAAATTAAGAAATAATAATTATAGGTGCACGACAAACCGAGAAGATTAAGTTTTACGCCACCGCGGCACCGCCTTGGATTTCCCTTTATAACCTTTTTATAAATATTGCGTTTGAACAACTCGAGAGCATGCGAAAGTCACCGTAGTTTCCATAGGCGTCTTCCAAGGCTAGTATATAAGAACAAGGAGAAGAGGATTTGAAAAACGCAGAGATAAATAGTTAAAACCATCACAAAAAGACTAGTTTAATAATTGGAAAACTGGCGTACACAAAGGGGCTGGGAAAACGTGACTCCTGTGAATGACAGCAACTTTTCACCGGTGTTCATCACTGATAACAACTTTCTAGAATATATCCGATTACGGAAGCCGATGTGGAATTAATACGAACGTCTTTGGAAAGACTATCGGTGATTATCTGACGCAATCTCATTGGTAGAAACAGTCACTGTCGTCGTTTTTCTCATATTCGATCAGCGGTGGCGGCCGTAAACGATCGCTTTTTTTTCTTTCTTTTTGTAATGACTCGAAAGACCTTTAACAATTTAGTGCGAGGCTGGGCGTTGGGGGTGTTGTTCACCGTGACTTGATTGCGTCCTTTATGTTGAACCCAACCGGAAGTAAATAACTGACATCCGGGCGTGGTGCATCGGAAACGCGCCCGCGGGATTAAAACGATAAAAAAAAAAAAAGAAATCCGTATCCGACCAAAACGAAAAGTGCACAAAAGGATCAGGACAATTCGCGATCGGAAACAATTCGAACACTAGTGTATGCAGACATTTCAGTCATTTTAATTCAGTTTGTATGGAATAAAGCATTTAACATTTTCCAAAATGAAGCATAATTATTGTTAGGTATCATAATGCACAAACMAGCAAAACTAGAAAGATTATAACATGTACATAATGGTTTGTTTATTTCAGATTATGCACATTTATATACATTAATTAATTATTAATTTTACCCGTTATAAAAATATGTAATATTTTTCAATTTTYCAATTATCATTAATCATGTACACATAATTTAGGGACTAAATAGAATATTCATTATAATGACGAGCTCTTTATTTTCGATTGTAAATTGTATTATGCAAGTCGTTCATTATTTT